ATAACACCGAAGTGAGAAAAATCTTTGTTTTCATTAACTGTGTGAACCTTTACAATTCAGTGATTTAATCTGCATCTTAGTAAATGTAATATTTCTCTCAGCCTCTCTGACAATGTTACCTTGGTTTTATCCTCATCGTATACTCCAGACTCGGAGCCTAAACCACTCAACGTGATGAGTGAATTCAAATCGATGTCTCTGCCAGCTATCCAGGTGGCAGAGTAATTGTTTGATAGCCCCACTAAGTACCCAGATTGGCATAACTTGCACCGAACGAAAGAAATTATTCAAGTAGTTTGCTGAAAAGCAATACAGCAAAGATGGAGTGAGTTGGCAATTGACTTTCCTAGTAGTCAGAGCCAACATGTTACAAATGCCCTTATCTCTGCCAAAAACGGAGCTCAATTTTAGATTTATGAATCAAACTTAAGCCTGCCTAAATACATTTTTAACACCAAGAGCTTGAGCTGCATATGTGAGCTTGGCATATTTTTCTGTGGTTCAGTATGAAACTGTTATAACTGTACAATTTAAGCGTAAAGATTCAGGCTGGACTCTCTCCTAAGTCTAGTTTAATCAGCCATTCCATTTCAGTGGTGGCCAGCCAGGTATTTACATAAACACATTAAAAAACGATATAAATGCAAGAATAAGCCAGAGGAAAGTTTCAAGATCACTTTACCAACTTATAATTCTTAGTCTTCCAGTTTAGATTCCCATCTAGGATAACATTTTATCCTTTATCAATCAACAGTAGAGACATAACTATTACTGTTTAGATGTGGATTCATTTAGCTAATAATGATGGATAGTATTGAACATAAGATGGCATTTGTTCACTTTTCTGAATAAAGGCACCTATTACACTGAAATACATGACTTGGTGTGTTAGATCAAACTTTTTCTTAAAATAAGCAAATGCTTGGTAACTCTGAGCACCTCCAAATCGATGAATAATGAATAAGAAACACCTCATGTTGTTAAGTATGTTAGCATGTATCTATTATATATTAATATGCATGATACTTTAGGAACAGGTCTAGTACGATTCTGTACAGAATGTTTAGAGAACTCCAAACTGTTGAGAGTAGATCTCGTTCAGTTTGGTGGGGTTTAGTCCACTGTAAGATACAATAAATGTGTATCTTTTCAAGACAATTAAATGCACAGCATCTGACTATCATTGCAAGGATACAACTCCTGATATTTTAAGGTAAAGATATGCACACTGTGTCACATCAGATGGTGAGACTTGGGACATTCACGCCTTGGTTGTCAAAAAGTAGAACCAGGCACCTTCCCCCATCCTGGCTGCTCTCCTCTTTCAAAACCCCTGTCAGCTTCACTACACCAATTGTGTAGGCTGTGAAGCAGGACAGGCATCTCTGAAAAAGCTCAAGAAAGATTTGAGGAAACAGCGGAATAATGAAAGGAGAGGGATCAAAAGGAAATCCTGCACTGGCAATGCTATGCCTGAGGGACAACTTAAATTATGAGCAGGGAATGCCAAAGTTGACAGGATAAATCCAAGGTTTCTTCTGGAGTATGGAGGGGCATAGAGGAAACCCACATTCTCATTCGGCATGCTCAGACTGCTGCATAGGCACGGGGCACATTTGGAGTGATAGGGCTGGAGTGGTACACGTGATATAGTAATAGAGAAATGCAAAGTGTGTGTAGCATGTCTTCCCCTCATTATCAAATCATTGCAACAAGCCTCTCTCCACAGCTAGGATTAGAAGGAGAAGGAGGCCAAAAGAGATTTGACTTCTTTCTTTGAGAAACGGTAAACCATGATCTCAGGAATTTCTGATCTTTCTCTGCTGCTTTACAGCCCACCCCATCCCCTGCCCCACTCAAGAGACCAGTAAGGAATAGCAGACAAAGCTTAGGATGAAAGAATAAAGTGATTCAAAGCCTTTTTTTTTTCCAACCAGAAAAGGAGAAAAAAACCCGCAAACACCCAAAAGGTGAGAGGGATTAAAGCAAAGCTAAACTCTTCTCGGAAATGGTAGGAGAAACTTCAGTATTTTCAGGCACACGAAGCGCTGAAAGAGAAGGGCTGTATACAAGCCTTTTATGTTCTACTCTCATTTGAAAATGAAAGGAGAAAGTGACGGAGAGGAAGAAGATAGTGATATTTTTTCATCTGCTTTCTGTTTAACCCTACTGAACCATCGTTTGGTGACAGTTCTCTCCCACCTTGTCCCTTTGATGGGTAGCAGTTGCACTCCTCGGAAACAGCCCGGAAGGGTGTCAGTTCACTTTTTAAAAGGTCATTTTAAAAAAAAAATAGAAATTCCTTTACAGAATTTTGCCTGTCCGTGCCCAGTCACCAGAGGAAACTAGCCTCAGGGGCAAAGCCTTTTGCTTCAGCCAACATTTCCCAGGGGATTAGTTGAGTTAGTCTCTTGTACACAAGACAGCAAAGAGTCTTAAGGCACCTTAAAACCTACCCATCTCTTACTCTAACAAACAAACCTGATGGTCTATGAGGATGCCAGGCTCTTTGGCTGCCCTTACATAAATAAATACCTCCCAGACAGAGTGAATGGAAACCCTTCAAGCCCCCCATCCCACCCCACCCCCCCAAAATCTTCAGGTTAGGGAATTTGGTTCCTACCTCCAAACCGCCAGGGCAAACCGAAACCACCACCAAAAAACCCCCCCCAAAAAACCCCAGATAGAAACACATACCACGCTGGTAGAGAGCCAGTCTGACGATGCTGTTGTGATAATTTGGGAAGAGGGAAACAGACACAGCATTTTCACACTCTAGGGGGGGGAAAAATTTCCTCCCCCGGGAAGGGGACACCGAGGTACCTCGATACCTGACAAGAGCACAGAGAAATGCTGAAGGCTGGATGTGGCTTTAGAAAGGTGGCAGCCCACCAGATGCCAAGAGTTTAGGGCTTAGGAGGGTGGGGGGAGGAAGAGGCAGAGTGGGGCGGCGGGAAGGGAGAAGCGATTTCTGAAGATGAGAAGCGATGGAAAGCAGGCGGCGGATCCACAGGGCGGAGTGGAGGGAGAGCACGGGCGACAGAGACAAGAGACAAGCGGGGGGAAGAGAGCGAGATCGACCACACCACAGGGACGCCACACGGACACAACGGCTTACTGTGGGCTCTTGGGGTAGAAAGGCAGGGTGACATGGCTGAGGTCCTGGATGTCAAAAGCCGTGGGCTCGGCGGAAATGGCCTGCCTCTTGGTCCTCTGCTCGCCCTGCAAGGTGCCGGAGCTTTGCTGATGCGCCTGTTGGGTGGCGGGCCGGATCACGGAGCGGTACTTGTCCAGCTCGTTCTGCAGCTTCTGGATCAGCTCGTCCTTCTGATCCAGCTCCAGTTCCAGCTCGTCGATGAGCGCATCTCGCTGCCGGAGCTCCTCGATCTTTTCTTGCAAGGCATATTGTAAATCCCGCAGCGTCCCCATCCTCAACCGCCACCTCTTCCTCCTCCACCACCACCTCCTCCTCCTCCTCCCTGGGGCTCCTGCCTGCGCCCCCCGCTCCTCTCGTCGCAACTTTGCCCCCCGCCCCGCCGAGTAGCCGCCGCCGCCGCCGCCGCCGCCGCCTGCCGCTTGTCCCACTTCAAGCCAACTTTGCCAATCGCTGCTCCGAGCGACCTGCTGCTGCCGCCGCCGCCGCCAGCAGATCCCGTTCGCCCTTCAACGCACGCCTCCAGCCTGGCTTGGCAAAGAAGCCGCTGCCGCTTCGCTTTCGCGTCGTTTCGGCAGAGCTACGCGGAGGAAAGGAGAAGCCCCACCATCCTGGTTTCGGCGGCGCCCAGCTTCACCGACGGCGGGCTTGCAAAGGGCGATCGCGAGCTGCCGCCTGCGTCAAGCTAGACGGGAGAGAGGGCGAGAGCGAGCGAGCGAGAGCCGAGGAGACGGCGGGAGGAGGAGGGAAGCCAGGCGAACGAGCGAGCGAGCGAGCGAGGGGCGTCTGCAGCATGCCGTAGCACATGCACTTTCCCCTCAGCCCCCTTCTTTCGGAGGGCTACTATCCGCTCGGCTCCCCTCCTGCTTCTCCGCCTCTCTCTCTCCGCTCACCCCATTAGCCAGCCTGCCAGCGGGAGGTGAGTGGGTGGGCTTTATTGCGTTCCAGGCATTTCCCGCCCAAATGGCACGCCACGTTTGCAAGGGGGGGGGAGGGAGGTGTTTGGGGGAGTGGGGGGCGGGTGAGAGAGGAGCCGCTTTCGAGCCATTGGTTTTGGCGGGGCGGAGAGTCTCCCCCCTAGTCGTCCCCCACTCCCCCCAGGCAGAAGCGCGCTTCCCCATAGGAAAAATAATAATTTTTTTTTTAAAAAAACGGCGGTTCTAGCCGGGCTAGCGGCAGAACTTCCGCGCCCAGGATGGACCCGCCAAGTCACCCATACGTGCGTATCCGCCAGCAGCGGAGTGTGTGTACAAAACGAGAGGCTTTTTTTCCCCTGGGCAGTAGAGCCGCGTCTCTCATTAGTGCCGGAGAGGCTGAGGAGAAGGCGTTGCGTGCCTGCCAAAAAGTCATTCTGACAGCCTCACCTGTGGCAGAGATGAGAATATCGGCTGCCTCGAGCCCCCAATTCTCCTTAAAGCATTGCCAGGCGAGAAACAGCACTGGCTTTCTTTCTAAGCCTGCCTAAAGCAGGCGAAGCTTTAGCTGCAGGGCCGAGAAGAGATATATTAATAGGGTTGTTTTACACCCGCATGGCCGTTCTAAGCTGCCTGGACAGAATTTTCCACTGTTTCTGAAAGTCCCCCACCACCACCAAAGCTTTTCCACTTTCTCCAACCACCTGAATGCTCGTTTCACAGAGCCTGGGAAAAATGGGGGAGAACCAGTGAGTCAGCAGTCCACCTGCTTCAGGATAGTTAGGAAATGGGGGGGGTCTCCTGTCACAATCAGCTATGAGGGGAAAAAACCCCTCACCTGCCCTGTTGGGCTGCTATGGGGAAAGAAGACCATTTCCTAGGGCTATGAGTGAGAAAGCTTCTCCCCCCCCCCCCCCCCCCCGTTTTAAATGGCTTTTGGAAGATGAAGGCTGAGCCCTCAGAGACAGAGTTGGAAGGGATCTTGGAGGTCATCTAGTCCAACCCCTGTTCACCAGGAGACCTCTACTAGGGATTCGAACTGCTGAATTGCCAACCTTTCTGATCAGCATCTTAGCCACCTAGCCAGATGCTAAGCAGTACCCACAGAAAAGGCTACTAAGGGTTTTTATCTTTCTGGGTTTCAAGCAGTGGTGGGTTGCTACCGGTTCTGTCCGGTTCTTTAGAACCGGTAGAAAAAGCGGCAGGAGGCTCCGCCCACCCGCCCCCAGATGTCATAATTGACGACCGCACACTCCCGTGGCAAACCGGTAGTAAAGGTAAGTAGAACCCACCCCTGGTCTCAAGTGTGGCAACTCAACGGCAAGGTTGCAAGTTAACTTGCCTCGATTTTGCTGAGTTTGGGCCCAGACCTTCCCCTGATATAATCAGAAGAAACAGGTGCAGCCATTATTCAGTATCAGATCCAAACTCATTTAGCTCTCTGCTGTCCCTTCCCAGCAAATCATGTATGACTTTGGATTCTGCACCTGGACCCTGCTTGGCCTAGACAGCGTTCATTCCCACCTGCAAGCCAAGGTTTTACTATTGGGGAGAAACAACAGCAAGGCTGCTGTAACAACAGAGAGGAGGGCGGGGAAACCGAATTAAAGAATGTGACAGAGCGTATAGTACATACATTTTGCCAAAAGGCAAAAATAACTTCATACAAGACACAACTAAGCTTACACCTTTCAAGTTCTGCAGGATTTCTGCCTGGGCATTGATATGCATTTATAATACTGCAAATCCCACTACATGATTAAAATACAAAGCTGCTTTTAGGGCCATTCAACATTCTGTATTTTATTTCACATATATATAGATATTTATATAAAAAGGCCGAAATAGTGCTATCCCAGTCTCCCATAAGTCACAGAAGAAACAACATAAAATTTCTGACAGGTCTGAAAGTGATGAATAGAGATTTCATCCCACCATGGCCATTTTAACATCTTTCAACATAGGAAAAAACCCTGATTGCAAAAATATCGCACATTTATACCTATGAATCAAAAGAAATAAATATATATATAGATATATACTGTATATATAGATTGATAGATAGCGAAAGAAACAGAATCACATGATTAAATGACATGAGTGACTATCAAACTTATCTGATTCAGTTTCAACCACAATAATAAGGGATAACTTGCATGAGTCATGGCAGATATAATACCATGAGAAAATTTCAGTATACGGTTAAAGCTGTCACTAAGCCTTAGAAGTTTTCAGAGCCAGCAGTAATCTTAATTTGTTCACCAGGCTTTTAATTGAATCTATATTGCTATGCATCTCTTTGTTCCTGTTTTGGATTTAAGATGTTATAATGCTATGGTTTTTTAATGCTATTTTGTATTCTGCTTTGATGTTAGTATGGTAATAATGAAAAGCAGATATTTTATAAATAAATAGATCACCTGAGCCAAAACATTCTCAGGGGAATCACTTGACAAATTTGACTATCTTAGCTACCTTTGAGAAATGCCAAATTTCAGAGTCCAGTAGTAGCTTTTAAGACATTTAAGCATTTTTAATATAATGGGCATGAGATTTTGCCAGCCAAGCCTTAGATACATGGAGCTTAATGGGTGGATTTAAGACAGCTCATAAAACCTATCCTGTATAATAAAATGTGTTAGTATTATTATAGAGTCTATTTGAATTTTGGCTATCGTAGACTAATTTGACTGTCCTGTTATATTAAAGAAATGAATAGCATTCAAGGGTTAGAGTTAGAGTTAGAACATGCACCTGATGCTGCATCTATACTGTCACCTTCAGTTTTCACCAGTGAACACAGAAAGCTTCATGAAAAGATATTATGGTGCCTGCAAGCAACAGGATGATATTCCTCCACCTCCTTTGTTTATGAATTTTTGTAGCATTTGATTGGGCTTACAGTGCAACTGGGGAGAGCATCAGGTTTCTGGAAAGATATAGTCAAGCAGTTTGTATCAGCCTGCCTTCCATTGAGCACCTGTAAACTGCCATGTTCCAGAAAGAGGGCTGTGAAAATATCTACAGACCCCTCACATCCTGGACATAAAATGTTTCAACTTCTGCCCTCAAGACAACAAGATAACTAATTTCCACAATACGCAAACTATCTAGTAGGGCTGTATTACTGTTATCCTTCTCTTTCCTATTATCTATTTCCGTATCTTCTTATGACTATAACTTTGTTGCTTGTATCTTACGATTTATATTAATTGTTTTATTTAGTATCCTAGTATGATTTATGTTGATTGCTTATTTAGTATCATATGACTGTCACTAAGTATTGTATCATATGGATTTATGATGAATGTATTTTATGATGATTATAGTCATGATTTATCACTTGTTGGTTTTATATGTACACTGAGAGCTTATGCACCGGAGATGAATTCCTTGTGTGTCCGATCACACATGGCTAATGAAGAATTATTCTGTTCTGCTCTGCTCTGCTCTGCTCTGCTCTGCCCTGCCCTTCCCTATCCTATCCTATCCTATCCTATCCTATCCTATCCTATCCTATCCTATCCTATCCTATCCTATTGTTGAGCACTTTGTGTGTTTACAGGCAGTTCTCAACTTATGACCACAACTGAGCCCCAAATTTAATTTGCTAAGCAAGGCAGTTGCTAAGTGAATTTTGTCCCATTTTATTACCTTTTTTGCCACAGTTGTTAAGCGAATCACTGCAGTTGTTAAGTGAATCATGCAGTCATTAAGCAAATCTGGCTACCCCCCCCCCAAATTACTTTGCAGGTCAGAAGCTGGCTGAAAAGGTTATAAATGGTCATCATATGACCCTGGGTTTGGTGCAACTGTCTTCAGTTCATGCCAGCTGCCAAGTGCCCAAATTTTGATCACATGACGATGGAGATATTGCAACCCTTGTAAGTGTGAAAGCTACTCATAAGTCACTTTTTTCAGTGCCGTTGTAACTTCAAACAGTCACTGTAAGTTGAGAACTATGTGTATTTTTCATGCTGGTTTTTAGACTGTTTCTCAAAACTAACCCATGATAAACTCCTGCATCCATGTCACATATACACAGCAGACTAGTGTGCTGGGATGGGCATGAACATATGCAGAGGGAGGACTGTTCAATTAAAATAAAAGACCCTGAAGAAATCAGTGGTTCACAGTATTTAAGCTCACAGCACTGCTCTATGCCTCATAAAGAAGCTTAATGAGTTATACTTTTCTTCTGTGGAGGAGTTTTCAGGGGGAAAAGAAGTTGTGTTAGAAAGAGAAAATGGACATGGATTGCATGAGCAGGCTTTATGAGAAAAATCTAATCTCTGATTGGCCTTTCTTGCACAAAAAAAGGAGCTAGGTGCATCCTGCATTTTAATGGAAAAACAGGATATCTCCAAAAATTCAAAACAAAAATTAGAAAGCGCTTGATTCAGCTTCAGAGTCATGGTAGTATGCATCTATTTTATTATTACTTAATATTTTAAAATTGTTGACTAGAGAATCAGGAAAAAGAACAGCAGGTTAACCATTAACCATTTTCCTTTAAACATTTTTTTCTTCTCAAAATCATGCTCTGATAGTTTTCAGTCATCCAAGAGGAGAAAAAAGATAGAAGTGCTGGAACAATCTGGAGCTCAACATGCTTAAAGCTGTAGTGATGAGAGTAGATTTTAGGAGGAGCCCTTTTATTCTATCACCTCTTACTATTATTTGACAGCACAGTATCAGCAGTAGAATCCTTCAAATTTTTGGGTTCTATAATCTCCCGGGATTTCAAATGAACACCTAACATTGTAATTAAAAAGGCACAGCAAAGAATGTTCTTCCTGCGTCAACTCGCGAAGTTCAGACTGCCCCAGGAGTTGTTGATACAGTTCTACAGAGGAATTATTGAGTCTGCATTTGTATAGTCTATAACTGTCTATAACTATTTGATTTGATACAGCAACCAAACAGAACAGATACAGACTCCTGTGGATAGTTAGGACTGCAGAAAAAACTATTGCAACTAGCTTGGCTTCCATAGAAGCCCTGTATATTGTGCATCTTAGGCTAAGAAAACATTTAAAGACCCCTTATATCCTGGATATAAACTGTTTCAACTCCTCTCTTCAGGACCCTGCTATAGGGCAATGTCTACCAAAACAACTAGACACAGGGACAATTTCTTTTCCTTGTGCCATCACTCTGCTGAACACCTAATTCTCACAATACTATTTTACGTCCAAGGTATATTTACCCATGGGGTATGGCTGTAATATTATTATTATTATCCTTCTCATTTTCTTTACTACCCCCTCTTTTTGATATCATTATTGTTGTTGTTGTTGTTGTTGTTGTTGTTGTTGTTGTAATGGTAAGAGAATACCTGTCTGACCTCGATGAATATAAATCCCCAGGACCTAATGGATTGCATCCCAGAGTTCTGAGGGAGCTGGCAGATGTTATCTCAGAGCCATTGTATCATATCTTTAAAAAACCTTGGAGCATCGGGGAACTACCAGAGAATTAGAAAAGAGCTGATGTGGTTCCCTTCTTCAAAAAATGGAAAGAAAAAAACATGAAACTACAGACCAATCAGCTTAACATCAATACCTGGGAAGATACCGGAAACACTAATAATAAAAAAACCAGATCTGTGAACATCTAGAAACAAATAAAGCCAGCATGGTTTTGTTAAAAACAGTTCATGCCAAACCAATCTTATTTCATTCTTTGACAAAGTGACTAAATTAGTAGACTAGCGAAATGCTGTGGACATAGTATATTTAGACTTCAGCAAGGCATTTGACAAAGTAGACCACAATCTAATTCTTGGTAAACTAGAAAAATATTGGATAGACAGCATCACCAGCAGATGGATTTGTAACTGTCTGACAAACCATACTCAACCAGTAGTTCTTAATGGAACTACATCTACATGGAGGAAAATAAGTAGTGGGGTACCACAGGTTCTATCTTGGGCCCCATACTCTTCAATATCTTCACAAATGACTTAGATGAGGGAATAGAAGGGGAACTCATCAAATTTGCAGATGATACTTAGCTGGCAGGAATAGCCAACAGCACAGAAGAAAAGCTCAGAATCCAAACAGATCTTGATAGACTTCATTTCATTTTATTAGATTTATATACCGCCCTACTCCCGAAGGACTCAGGGCGGTGAACAGCCAGAAAGATAAAACACACAAACTATAAAATTTAAAAGACAATATAAAAACCCATTAAATAATTTGGCCCAAAACAATTTAAAACACCCCTAATGTTTTAAAACCAATTTTAAAAATTACAATTAAAAGGGAAGTTAGGCCAGGCCAGCCTGTTGAAATAAATAGGTCTTGAGGGCACGGCGGAAGGTGCGTAGATCCAGGATCCTCCGTATCTCCAGGGGGAGCTCATTCCAGATAGCAGGTGCTCCCACAGAGAAGGCTCTCCCCCTGGGGGCCACCAGTCGACACTGTGACTGAGAACAAGTTATCCAACAAAATTACATTTAATGTGGAGAAAAGCAAAGTTTTACACCTGGGCAGGAAAAACCAAAAGTACAAGTACAGATTAGACAAAACCTGGCTCAAAAACAGTAACTGTGAGAGGGACCTTGGAGTCCTAGTGGACAATCACTTAAACATGAGTCAGCAATGTGCAGCAGCAGCCAAAAATATAATCCTTGGTTGTATAAATAGAGGCACAGAATCAAAATCACTGAAGAATTACTTTATAAAGCCTTAGTAACACCACACGTGGAATACTGCATCCAGTTTTGGTCATCACATTACAAAAAAGATGTTGAGACTTGGGAAAAGTGCAAAGAAGAGCAACTAAGATGATTAACGGCCCAGAGATTAAAACATGAAGAACGGTTGCAGAATTTGGGTTTGGCTAGTCTAGAGAAAAGAAGGAGTAGGAGGGACATGATAGCAGTATTCCAGTATTTTAGAGGCTGCTACAAAGATGAGGGCTCAATTTATTTTCCAAAGGACCAGAGGGCAGGACAAGAAACAATGGATGGAAACTAATCAAGGAGAGAAGCAACATGGAATTAAGGAGAAATTTATTATTACTCTGTTGCTTTCCATGTACACAGAGCTTCTGCACCAGAGACAAATCCATGTGTGTCTAATCACACTTGGCCAATAAAGTATTCTAATTACTGTACTGATTAAAATAACTATTTGTAGAATAAGTACCTGATTTATAAAATTAAGGAATTCCTTCTCTGCATACCAATTAACTTCTCTTATTCATAAATCACAGTTACACAAAAAACACTTAAATTTATTTCCCTCTGTTCTTCCAATGCAAACAGCAAAAAGAGGATGAATGAAGAAAAGGCAAGGTGTCTGAGGAAGTTAAAAAAAGTCAAGGTGATAACCATATAGTGAGGCGAGCAGCATATAAATTTAATAATAAATAAATAAAAATTAATAAAATAATAACAATTGAATACTGGGTTAGTTTTCTATTGAAGAGCCAAGATTCCTTATTTCTTCTTACTGTGCCAAGTCAGATCCATTTTACTTGGATGAAGCTTTGCAATGAAAAGGCTGGCAGATTAAGTTCAGTTGGTATTTGACTTCAATCAGTTCTATTTTGTGGTGATTTTAGGATCTTTTTGGATTTGCATCTTTATTATTACATATGGGAAATAATTTGTTTTCATTGTTCGCTGTCTCAATCGCTACAGAATAAAAAAGATGAACTAAAGACGGAAATCAATAATTCATCCAAAGGCTCTCAGAAAAGAAGCTGTGAAGTGAACTCTGGTGGAAAGATTGCTATAATGTCAATGTATTATGAAGCACAAGTTTCGGAAACTCATTTTATGGGTTTCGTGTTTCAGCCGGAAAAGAAAAACTACAGAAGGTCATGGTTGTTTTGTGTAAATCTCTGTAATGCTGAGTTGGTTGCAACCTCAGAATAATTTGCTTCAGTCTATGGAATTAGTCCAAGCACTTTATCCAAAATCTGTTTGAAACATCTGTATCTTTTTTCCATTCACACCTTTCTCAAAACGAAAGCGTACACAAACTTTCCTCCTACTGTAAATTACATTGTGAATATGAATTCAGCAAATTAAAAAGTGAATGAACGTATGTTTATTTCCAGATTCATCTCACACCCAAACATGCGTATTTTGGATCAAGGACAGACAGACAAATAGAAACAGTCTCTGCTCATAATGCCAGAGCGTCTCTATTTTCACAACTATGGAAAAGTTTTTGTGCACGTCTAATTGTATGGGGAATTATTTTCAAATACAAGAAAGAGCCACATGAGCAGTTTTGATGACAGTATTATAAGGATACAAACAGATTACAAAGAGTTCCAAATGAATAACTTCAAATTAGATATACCACTAGCAGTACAACAGATGAAATTTAATTCAAGTGTAGTTGTTGTTGTTTTTGAGGGGGGGTGATTTGCTTTTCTAGGGCTGCACAAATTATTTCAAAGGTTCAGAAAGCAGTTTGTGGATACCTTGAAAGAAAATTGGCCAATGTAGATTTGGCTAAAGTTTTCTCTGAGATTTATTTATTTTTATTGCATGAACTGATTAGAAAAAAAAAATAAGAAAAAATATAAACAAGTACAGTTTTTAAAAAATAAATATCTAATGTCCTGTATATCCAATAACTGGCTCAGCTACTTTGATTTTCTATCAGCATCAGGTAACAATATTTTTATTGAGACAAAATATTGATTGTATTGAGCTGACTAATTTTTGAATCATGCCTTGTGTTAATATGTGGATTTTACTGGAAGTCTTGTGGTACTTTTAACTTACTGCCTTTGTAATTTAATATATACAAAGTTGTCACTGGCTTTTGGAAATGGATATTGTTAGTCATGTTACGCAGTATATGAATAAAGTGGAATATATATCACATGTCAAACAAATAAACCATGTCTTAAGATTAATGTAAAAAAATATTGTTGGGATCTCAGAGAAAATATGTATGAAAATATCACACAGCCACAACATATCTGAGGATAGTGTCTGGCAGTTACAAGAATAACACAGAAGTCATAATAACAAAGACTATATAAGTACAATTGTACTAACTTTTTTTAAAAAAATTAATTTATATCCTACTTCTATTGTTTTTACAAATACAGGTAGTCCTTGAGCCCAAAATTTATTTTGCTAAGTGAGAAATTTGTTAAGTGAGTTTTACCCCATTTTATGACTTTTCTTGCCTCATTTGTTAAGTGAATCACTGCAATTGTTACATTAGTACCACCGTTGTTAAGAGAAACTGGCTTTCCCATTGACTTTGAAGTTCACAAAAGGTGATCTCATGACCCCAGGACACTGCAGCCACCATAAATAGGAACCATTTGTCAAGCATCCAAATGTAAATCACATGACATGGGGATGCTGCAATGGTCATAAGTGTGAAAAATGGTCATAACTCACTTTTTTCAGAGCTGCTATAACTTCTGAAAGAAGATGCATGTCATTTGAATGACAGGAAAGGCTGAAAATTTTAAAAAATGAAGATGCTATCTCAGGTATCTAATTTTGAGTACTTTAATGAGTAATTAATTTGTAGGTGGCTTGTAACATCACCAGTATACAGGTATGCACTTTCCTCTTGCACGTTTTCAATTTGCTGTGCCGTGCAGTCTTATTTGTCTGCACCAGGAACAATTTATTAAATTTGCAATCCTAATGAAATACACATTAGCTTCAACATAGTATGGGTGTGACTGATAGATCACTGACATCCAAAGAGCTTGCAGAGGTCATCTTGAAAGCCCTTTCTGAGATCTTTGAGACATCACAGAGGACGGCATGGGGGGGCTTGAGAAGGGCAAATATTATTCTTCTTAAACAAAGAGAATCTAGGTAGGCATGTTGTTATATTGATGCTACATTAAACACTGGAATTATTTTTAAATATTTAGGAGAGAATCCATGGCTGTGTAGTAAGTAGTATAGTTTTATCAAAATAGTCAACCTGATCATGTTTTTTTAAAATAGAATGTTCGGTTTAGTTGATCATAGGAATGCGGTAGCCATGGGTTATCTTGGATTACCTTGATTTCAGTAAAGCCTTCGATGAAGCCTCTTACAAAATGGGAGATGGGAAAATATGAGCTGGACTATGTCACCATAAGATGGATACAAATGTGATTGAATAATCATATCTGGCATACCAAGCCAGACTGGAAGGAAGTGTTGAGTGGTCCCAAAGGTGCTTTTTTTCAAAAGTCAACTGGACTTTCTTTGTTTTTCCCTGAAAATGTTTTGCCTCTCATAGAAGAAGCTTCTCGGATGAGAAGCAAAATGTCTTAAAAAAAAAAAAAAGAAGTCCAATTGCCTTTTGAAAAAAGCAACTTTGGGACAACCATGACTGAGAATCTCCACAGACAAGTGTTGAGTGGCATATTCTAGGACTTTCTTCTTTGCTGTTCAACATTTATAAAGGATTTGGTGACAATTCTTAATAAACAATTACCATATTTTTCAGAGTATAAGACGCTCCGGACTATAAGATGCACCTACCTTTTTTGGTGAGGAAAACAAGAAAAAGAAATCTGCCTCTGCCTCCCAGCAATTTTGCCTCGTTGCAGCAAACAGCAAATAGCCTGCCTTAGTTTCATTTTCGTTTTCAGCATAGCTTGATTAGCACAAGAAAAAAAAAATCTGCTCCCAGCAATTTCCCTCCTTGCAGCAAGCAGCAGAGGCCTGCGCAAAACAGTTGAGAGCAAAACAGCTGAGAGTCGGGAGGCCAATCCAATCAACTTATGCTAATTTAGGCTGTGCTGAAGCTAAAACGAGCTGTTTCTTCTTGCTGCTTGCTGCAAGGAGGTAAACTGATGGGAGGCAGAGGCCAAATAGTGGGGGCCAGTGGGTGGGCAAGACTACATTCGGTGTATAAGACGCAACTAAATTTTCACCCCCTTTTAGGGGGGGGGAAGGTGCGTCTTATACTCCGAAAAGTATGGTAATACATTTCTGGACAGTGCAAAGATAAGAGAGCTTTGGAGTTGCTAGTCTACACAAAGTTGTGCAATTATCAGCTTATAAATGGTTGATAAATTGCGGCTGAATTGGTTCATTTGCTCAAAAATAAAAAGTTACAGTTAAACAACTAGAGATAATATTCATAATTCATTTCTGCCACTGATGGACAGTAATATCTTTCTCTCTCTCTCTCTCTCTCTACATGAAAGGCTCACACATTGAACAGTTATTGTCACAGTATTTCACCAAGTAAAATTCACCAAGCCCAAGAAATTGCTGGAGAAAAAAAAGGTGAGTGCTATTCTGATGTCATTTTTCTTCTTCAGAATAATCTCATGCTGATTTACTCAAATATCATGGAAACTACATTTTCTGATGCAGAGGTTCCTGAATGCTAATTCAGAAGGAGGGGGGGGAATGGGAAAAACATTTTTTTTCAATCAATAACAGCATAAGATGCATAAAAGGTCAAGAATGATGAGATATATGAAACATCACATACTCTTGTGTCTTGGAACTAATAGACAACTCAGGATATAGGAACAGATAGTGAAAGCTTATTCCATCTATAATTCATAAGCAAATAATGATTGCTAAGATTGCTGCTCTTTTCAAAGACGTTGGAAATGAGCATATATAATAAAAAAAGAAAGTTGTGTTAGTTTCCGTCTTAAGATAAACTACTTCCTACCAGATGAGGTCACCAATTGCAGCTGATTAATTGTCTCTTTGTTGTAAAGCATATTGCCTAAACCCTAATACACACTGCTTACCACATAGCAACTCGACAAATGCGTATTTGCTTTGGTTTAGGGAGCCTCAAATTCAGGTTAATTCAAAGCAGGATAATTAATACCAAATCTATGACTGTATGACAGGGGAGCATACTACTTACACTAATGCTCTTCAGCCACAGAGTTTTGAAGAAGTCCTTTACCTATCTAGGGCCAACCTGATATGGAGGAACGGCCACTGAATGCCACTTTAAGGCATTTATTCATCTCAAATACTCAGACAAAATAACTATCAGGTATGAAGAATCAGACCACACAGTAAGAAAAACCAGAAAGTCCAGTTGCCTCTGGAAAAAAGCACCTTTGGGACAACCTGGATGACTGAGGATCTCCATATGCAACCACACAATAAGTTCCAATTAAACTGATTTATTAATAATAATAGCTTTATTGTCATTGTACGTGTATACACAGTATACCCATACAACAAAATTCACTTAACAACCAAAGACCAGGTCCAACACACATAACAATCCCTACCCACCATAAATTCCCCATCCCTAAACCACCCAAACATCCACACAACAGACCAAGTAATGCTGTCCAACAGCTCACTGATGGTGGCTCTTTAGTTCATTGTTGAGTGCAATGATAGCTCTGGGATAAAAACTACTCAGAAAACGTGTGGTCCGAGTTTTAATTGTTTTGTATCTTCTGTCAGAAGGCAACAGTCCAAAAAGATTGTAAGCAAGATGGGAAGAGTCTCTGACAATGTTATGCAACACAATTGCATACCAATACCACTCCAGAGACCGGTAAACTGATTTATTGCTCATGCTTATACACAAGAATCTAATAAATTTACAGTCAATGCTACATTGGTGCTAGCTAAGAGTTAACAGAATTTAAGAGGGGCTGGACTTAGACTTCCTTGACTCTTCCCCCAGGGTCTGTCTGTCTTATTACAGTGACCAAAAGATTTGAAGCAGTGGTGGGTTTAAACTTTTTTTACTACCGGTTCTGGGAGCGTGGCTTGGTGGGCATGGCATGGCTTGGTGGGCATAGCTTGGTGGCGTGGCAGGGGAAGGTTACTGCAAAAATCCCCATTTCCCCCCGATCATGTGGGACTTGGGAGGCAGAGAATAGATGGGGGCGGGGCCAGTCAGAATTTTTACTACCGGTTCTCTGAACTACGCAAAATATCTACTACCGGTTCTCTAGAACTGGTCAGGATCCCTGCTGAAAACCACCTCTGATTTGAAGTTTACCTCTAAATCAAATTATTTGACCATGGTGAATATCAAGTATTTTTTTAATCTAACATCAAGTAACTTATTTATTTATGTATTTACTCACTATTTTTCATGCCCAATGTGCATGGAGGAAAATAAAATAATATATGTGTCTGAGTGGTTTTATAGTTTTTAATGCATCTTATTAAGCATAATCTCTACTAATCTCTCTATAATTTTCATTGCATCTATTTCTCTGGAATTATGAAGGCTACACCAATCAGAAATATCAAATATCAATTTTCGGTGCCTATTAATTTTATTTCTTAAAATGAGCTAACTTTTTTAAAAGTATGATAAATACCTACAGTCTATAGCAGACCCAGATTCTCCAACAAACAGGTTGCTTGCTGTTTTCTGATTTGAATTTCTCCATAACAGCATAATCAATCATAGAGGCCAAATTGCAGATGGTATGAAGTTGTATGACTTGCCTCCCTTCTAAATAATAGAGAAAATATGACAATTCCATACTTCTTAAGGTATTTGATTTCAACCCTCTCATTCCAAAGATTGCCATATAACAGAAGAACAGAGTTGGAAGGGACCTTGGAAGTCTTCTAGTCCAACCCCCTTGGTATAGACATGGAAGACATGGGATCTGGCCCATGGGATGTCTGGATCTGGCCTGCAGGCCGCCCTGGAAACAGCTAAGGACTGGCCCTCAGTGCCTCTGCCAGTGAAAACGAAGCTTAGGAGGGCTGCGTGCGGCCCTCCCAAATTTTGTTTTCGCTGGCAGAGGGTTGCAGGAGGCCATCACAGCCAAAACGGAGCTTGGGAGCCCATTCACTAGCAGACCGCTCGGGTCACCGCAAGCGCCCCCCCCCCGGTGAAACAAGTGACCTCGAGCTGGCCACACCCACCCTGGCCCCCAAGGTCAAATACAACCCTGATGCAGCCCTCAATCAAATTGAGTTTGACACCTCTGCCCTATACCATTTCAGATAAATGGTTATCCAGTCTCTTCTTACAAACCTTCAGTGTTGGAGCACCCACAACTTCTGGAGGCAAGTCATTCCATTGATTAATTGTTCTAACCATCAGGAAATTTCTCCTTAGTTCTAGGTTGGTTCTCTCCTTGATTAGTTTCCATCCACTGCTTCTTGTTCTGCTTTCAGATGCTTTGGAGAATAGAATGAACCTCTCTTCCTTGTGGCAGCCCCTCAAATATTGGAACACTGCTATTGTGTCATCAATTTATATATATTGCAATTTGTGATAGCTGGAACTAAATTTTCAAGACAAGGCTTGCCATCCCTTTATGTGAGACTGATAAATTCCCTTTATGAGAAAAATCTGGAAATTTAAAATTTTCTTCCCCAACTGGCATTTGAAACTATTTCACAAAACAAAAACAGAAGGAAGGGAATTTCTTGAACTTAACATCTTAAACACTGCGGGGGGGAAAAAAACTAAACATTTTTATGAACATATATTTTACAAGTTTAATAATCTTAGGTATATCCCTAGGTATTCACAGCTGAAGACAAACCAATCTATCTTTAAAAAATTCATTTTTAGAGTTTAATAACCCCCAGAGGCATCAATTCAGATTTAAGCCAAATAATACTATACCTAGAAAAGATTAAAGACTCATCGGCTAAATATACTAATTTTGGTATGGAAAATTCAATTTTATCAATAAATACCAACATCTGTTCTCCAAAGAGAATTATTATATAATTTTTACTTGTACATATTGAGATAATTAATTTTAGCGTTCTGCCTAATTGCATGCGCTCACTTTCTAAACTCAGATTAAGCAATGGAAAAGTGAGAAAAACCAGACTGTAGACATCTCTCCAAGAAAAATGGGATTAAATTGGATCTTCCTTGGCAAAAAAGAAAAAAAACACCTTCAATAGTTTATTCACTGAATACTTGGCACATTTCAGTTTCTTCAAAATATCTGGAAGGGATGAGTAACAAATGAAGACAATAAGAAGTAGTGTTTCTCTTTAATTGTTCTTGTTCTAATGACTTTTGCTAATTGGCTATTAAGAAAATGACTCATTACATTAAAATGTCCATCAATTATCCAAAAGTCATAGGTTAAAAAGGACAAGGTGTTTACACAGTCCTGGCATATGTCACAAGCATCAAGATTAAGCCATAAATTTAAATTAAAGGAAAGTGTATCCTTTTCAAAAGATCTAATCACAATAAAATAATGGCCTCCTTGCATTTATTATCATGCGCAAAAAAAGAAAATATATGTTAAAATAGCAAACCCACAATTTTTTGTTCTTTGCATAACCACTAACTTAAATTTCTCCACTTCATCTTTCTACATTCTTATCCTAATTTATTAGATCTTTTGTTGATATAATGCTATATCAGCCTTTGGTATGCTTTATTTATTCTTGTAGAGGAATCCTAAACCCTTAGTTCAGCATCATACCATTCAAAGAGTTACTTTAAACTGAGTAAGTGGATTCCTTAAAATAATCAAAAAAAAATTGTTAAATTGCCTTATTCTTTCACATTTTCATGTATATACTATACTTTTTATTGAAGGAATTCACATTTGGTCTTTTGAAAGTATGTCTCTGGTTCTCTTATAAAGGTTCATATTTTAATCTACTCAGATTGTATTATATCCTCTGAAGACGTTTATGCATTTGATCTTTTTTTACCATTCTGTTGCTAGAATGAACTTACGAAATACCTCTTTGTAAGCAGCTATGTAAGGCATTCTGAAATTCTAAGTTATGCGTTTAAAGCATGATGCTAAGGAAAAGTAAATAAACTTGTAATAATAACAACTATAAATAGAAAATCAAGAATTTAACTCATATTTCCTTCATGTTTCTAGGTTCTATCATATCTCAAGACTTAAAATGGACACCTAACATCAAAAACGTCATCAAAAAATCACAACAAAGAATGTTCTTTCTGCGCCAACTCAGAAAGCTCAAACTATCCAAGGAGCTGCTGATCCAGTTCTACAGAAGAATTGTTGAGTCTGTCATCTGCACCTCTATACAGTAACTGTCTGGTTTGGTTCTGCAACCAAACAAGACAGACACAGACTTCAATGAATAATTAGAACTGCAGAAAAATCAATTGCTACCAACCTGCCTTCCATTGAGGACCTGTATACTACACAAGTCAAAAAGAGGGCTGTGAAAATATCTACAGACCCCTCACATCCTGGACATAAATTGTTTCAACTTCTACCCTCAAAATCACCCTATAGGGCATTGCACACCAGAACAACTAGACACAAGGACAGTTTTTCCCTGAATGTCATCACTCTACTACACTCTAAACAACTAATTCCCACAACACTGTCAAACTATTTACTAAGACTGTATTACTATTATTCTTCTCATCCTTCCTATTACCTATCTCCTCCCACTTATTACTATAATTTTGCTGCTTGTAACTTTTCAATTTATATTGTTTTATTTGTTTCCTAGTATGATTTGATTGCTTATTTAGTAACCTATGACTATCACTAAGTATTGTATCTTATGATTCTTGATTAATGTTTTTTTCTTTTTATGTACACCGAGAGCATATGCACCAAAGGCAAATTCCTTGTGTGTCCAATCATACTTGGCCAGTAAAGAGTTCTATTCTATTCTATTCTATTCTATTCTATTCTATTCTATTCTATTCTATTCTATTCGGTGCCCTATAATTGTATCTATAAGATTTCAATTTCCTCGGCTAGCATAATAAATTTTTAGCAGTTTTCAGTGCACTTAGTATGCAGTTCCAAATTAATTAGATGATAAAAGATGATAGAGATGATAGATGGCTAGAGATAGATAGATAGATAGATAGATAGACAAATAGATAGATAGATAGATAGATAGATAGATAGATAGATAGATAGATGGATGATAGATAGATAGATAATATCTCAGTGCTAGGTCTAAGCCTACAATTGTAGTATTGTGGAAATTTGTAATGGTTTTAATGTCATAATTTTGACATCTCTGTAAGATGCTCACCACAACCATACTTGTTTCCTGCTTTAAATATAAAATGAAGAAAGACAAAAAGAAAATAAGAGTAGAAATAAGAGTGAATTGCAGCAAATGTTCCATGTACTAAAAGGAATGTAATACTACACCATTTATTCATTCCTATCCAGTATGAAATAAGCACTAAAATTAATTTCAGAATGTAGGCTCGTGTTTTTTTTTAAATTCAGAAAGACTTCCTTAGAAGGTGGCAGGCTATTAGTGTAGAATTATTCCTGACTACCTGCTCAAGTTAGTAGCGCTGCTACAAAGAAAAATTGGATAACTACAGGCAGATGGCTGGCAATTAATAGGACTAGAGAGAGGAAGGGAAACCAAAGCCATGCTAACAGTAGAGGGGGGGAAATCACCTGAGACAGTGATTAAAAATAATGATGTGCTGCACTATAATTGGTAATAAACTTAGCTTTTTATATCTTATTAGAGTAATAATGTCTGAACAGCAAAGAGGAAAAAAACAATGGGAGACATGTAATTCCAAAGCAAGAGATGACTGCACAAAAAAAATAAAATTATAGTCAGTTCTGCTTTTCTTGGCCATTCTTTCCTCCATTACAGTGACAGCAGTTGTCAAAATAACGAAAAGAATAATATTGTTATCTTTTCATTGCTCTTCCAAATTGATTAATCTCAAGGGGCTTTGCTGTGTAAAAGAAGAAACAGTTGCTTACTCTGTGTTAGTGGCTAATTTTCCCGCAGCAAGGGAAATTTTGGCAAATCAGTGGGCACAATTCAAGATTGAGAAATTTCAAGGGCACTTTCACACAGATGGCTGGGCTAGTGGGCGTGATCATTCATAAAACATCCATGTATCAAATGGTCAACTAGGAAGATCCTCCAGCTCCTGGAATGTTCTCTAGCCATTCATATTTGTCTTTTTTTTTTTTTTTGATACATTAAAAATAAATCATTGGGTTGCACCTTCCCTCCTTCCTCATAGTCTATTTATTAAATTACAGATTAACAGAGTTGGAAGAAACCTTGTAGGTCAACTAGTCCAACCCCCCACCCAAGCAGGAGACCCTACACTACTTCTGACAAATGGCAGTCCAATCTTTTCTTGAAAGCCTCCAGTGATGAAGCTCCCACAACTTCCGAAGGCAAGCTATTCCATTGATTGTTCTCACTGACAGAAAATTTCTCCTTATTTCTAAGTTGAATCTGTCCATGATCAGTTCCCATCCATTATTCCTTGTCCGGTCTTTGGGTGCCTTGGAAAATAGCTTGATCCCATCCTCTCTATGGCAGCCCCTCAAATATTGGAAGACTGCTATCATGTCTTCCCTGGTCCTTCTCTTCACTAGAATAGCCACGCCAAATACCTGCAACCATTCATCATATGTTTTAGCCTTCAGTCCCCTAATCATCTTAGTTGCTCTTCTCTGCACTCTTCCTAGACTCTCAACATCTTTTTTATAGTGTGGTGACCAAAAGTGGATGCAGTATTCTATGTGTGGTCTTACTAAGGCTTTATAGAGTGCTATTAGTACCTGACTTGATCTTGATGTATCCCTCTGTTAATGCAATTTAGGATTGCATTGGCTTTTTTGGTTGCCGCCGCACACCATTGGCTCATATTTAATTGTTGTCCACTAAGATTCCAAGATCCCTCTCACAGTTATTCCTATTAAGCGTAGGTGGGTTCCATTAGCAGTCATTTCTGTGAATAAAGATTTTGTTTAAGGACGATCCCTTGCTTTATTGTACGCTTGCCCATTTTTTTTTTAAATTAGGAAAATGTTTTAAAACATTCAGATGGAGCAGACAGCCTAGTGGGTAACAAGACAAATATTCATAGGCACATAGTTGTCTCTAGGTGCCAGAAAGGGAATCCAGATCTTCAGCCTGGATGGATTTGCATTGCAAGGCAATAGAATAATATTATCAACTATATTATAAAGGGAAATGGAAACAGCCATTCCATGGCAGAATGTAGCATCAATTTTAAAAAAAAACACGCAAATAAAAGAAACTGGAGTGAATAAGGGAGTCGATAATTTATTTTTAATGCATTTTTAAGATTATCTGCAAGGATGCACAATAAGCATCAGAAAGAAGTAATTGTAAGACAAAGCCACTTTATGCTGGTTTAAAATATAAAGTGAAATGTGCAAGAATATCATTCGGAGCCAAGCAGTTTCAAATCCTACTAATTATGACAGGAATGTTAAACATCACTTAAACATTTCCTCTTTTATATTAATGTGATACACTGGCTGGCTTGTTTTTCAGTTCTTTAGCATAATTATACCACAAGTACCTTTTCTACAGATTCAGAAAGCCTAACAGAATTATATTAACTCTTTTATAAATCTTAGCCAAAATAGAAATTAATTTCTTTCTCTCAAGATTTGGCTTTTTTCCTAATGAGACGGGTCTAGGCCAAAGCATTCTACATTACTAGAAAGCAAGCCATTTTTCTTATCATTCATTCTGCCTTGGTTGGCTACCCAGGGTGCCTCACATAGGCCCAAGATTTTTGCATCACCATTTCACTCTGCCAATTCATCTACTCTCTCAGCACAAGAGTCTGGAGCGGATGCCTTTAAAATCTTTATTCATACTTGAGCTTTGTACTTTTATATCTCATTTCCTTCCTTGCAACCCTATTAAAATGAACCCATATTGACATACATGCTAATGCCGAAGCATCTCAGGACCTGTCAATCAGTCACTACACTATTGGATCATAGAATATTACCACATTAAATCTGCACATGTACACCAGCCCTGCAAAAGACAAATCTAGAGGATTAGAAATGTTGCCGTTTTCATTTCAAAATCAAGATGAATGACATGAATGTTGATGCAAAGCCAAGAGCCAGGAGTAGCACTACAATTTTCATGCAGATTGCAGGTTTCTTTTGCGACTAGAGACAGGTTCTGACTTCCAAATAGAAGATAATTAAGCCAAACAGTGACACATTTTTTTAGTCCAAAGTTAGCATCCTCTGGAAATGATTTTAAGCAAGTCAATCTCAACAAGGACATTTTACATAGCCAAATCTGATCGAAGTCATGCATTAGGTTTCTTTATTCAGAAACATAAGCATAGTTTCTAAATTTTTGGCAAGCCAGCAAAACTCCTTAATTGCTGTAACAGGTTTGGTTCAGACTTTGAACAATAACTCAAGCAATCATGAGAAAGGACTTTGGCCCAAACAGAAATCAGGAGCAGTGCAAAATAATTAAAAGGAGGAAGTAAAACATAAGAATGAAATTAGACATTATTAGATCCTCGGGAAGTCTGTTCTAACTACCTCTTTGAAAATGTGTTTTTTTTTTTCACAGACTTCCAAATGTTTCATCCCAAAATTGGATCAGAATGAAGTGAAAATAATCATTTATTCTATGGATTGTCTTAATTTTCTCCTTTTCTTTCCATTCTTTTCATTTTTTTCCATGCTGCTGGTTATGAGGTGTTGAGAAACAATTAGTCCATCAGTATATCCTGATAGTCATTCCTTCATCCAGTATGTTCCCATTTTGATCCTTTCTTAGTTGCCCTGATGTTCTTTTTCTTTCATGTTTTTTATTTGTTAAATTTATATTTCACCTTTCCTCCAGGAACTCAAGATACCTTAATGTAGCAGTCCCACTTCCAATTTCATTCCATACAAATAATAATGCATAGTTAGTTGGGCTGAAAGAGAATTACTGCCTGAAATGACCTAGATAGCTTCCATTACTAAGAAGGGACTTTAACCTCGATCTTCCCAGTGCTAACCCAATCCCTGAACCACATTAGCTCTCAATGCATTTATTTGACATATCTCCTGTTATATATTTACTGAAATCAAATGTACACAGAGAAATATAAAAACACACACAAAACATACAAACAGATATAGAGCTGAATTCCTCAAAGGTACTTCAGAGGATGAACCCAGTAGTTGTCTATAAATCTTTAAGGCAAATTGCACCTTTTCCCACAACATTGCCCTGAGTCTTCGGAGAGGGGGGGCGTATAAATTGAATTAATTAAATTAAATTAAATTAAACAGACAGGTAGCTGCAAAAACACAGAGCTCTTTTAACCAGTTGCAGATCAGGGTTATGTTTGTGCTCTCCTCCAATCTGAGGTAGCTTTTGGAAATGGAATCTAAAGCACTACACAGCAGTGGTTAAACTGGTGGGTTTCAAAATTGTTTACTACCAGTTCTGTGGGTGTGGCTTGGTGGGTGTGGCAGGGGAAGGATACTGTAAAATCTCCATTCCCACCCCACTCCAGGGGAAGGCTACGGCAAAATCCCCATTTCCTCCCGATTAGCTGGGACTTGGGAAGCCGAGAATAGATGGGGGCGGGGCCAGTCAGAATTTTTAGTACCGGTTCTCCAAACTACTCAAAATTTCCGCTACCGGTTCTCCAGAACTGGTCAGAACCTGCTGAAACCCATCTCTGCTGCACAGTCTGCACAAATACACAATCGCATATACAAACACACAGCTTCTGTATATTTTCCTATATGAATGAAATGTATACGGTAATTTCAAATTTTCCACACACAACTCCCTTAAATTAAAACCATTTATTTATCTATAGCCCAGATGCTAATATGTGATACAGCATAGAAGATTACTTCATTCCTCGGAGTGATGATCTCTAGTTGTTGAATTAAGCTTATTTGTTGTTTGGAGTCAGGCGGTGTCAAATCAAGTTAATACACCAACAAATTTCCATCTCTTAGTAAGTGGAGCTAGAGGTTCAAGGCACACTACAGGCTAAGAGTCAATCACAGAAGCATCCTTATTGGCTTCCCTGGGAATTTACTCCATTATTCTCTCTTTCCAGTCCTTCTTCATCAACAGTTGAATAATTGCTTTGCGGTTGTCTACAATTTGACCTTAGAACCTCCCTTCTGAGGTTACCACTTCAACCAATTGCAGTAGACACTTGACTTTGGGCATCTGCTTTTTTCCTCAGCTTCTGCTATCTTTCCTTATAGGCTTTTCACATGTTAGCTCAGTTGCTTTTATGCCTGGAAAGCTTTTCATTGCCTTCTCATAATACGGAACCTATCATAGTTTATCCTTTGCTAAAATTTCAGCCTGTCAATTGTGGGTTTCTGGCAGTAGCAACTAGATCCATTGATCTATCAGACCTTATGCAGGACTCCAATCTAATCCCTCTGAAAACATGTCTTAATACTGAAGGATGGCTGGCTATGAATCAGACGTAGCTTTCTTCTCTTTTTCCAATATTGTTTTGGACATTTTGACAACTGTTTCCACTTTTCCATTGCTCTGGATGTAGCAGGGAAAGCAGTTTTTATGCTCAAATTCCTACTGTGTTCAGAAAAAAAATGAATCCTTCTAGGGTAAATTGTACCTTGTAGTTTAAGAATGTAACAGCCGTGGTGGCACAGTGGTTAGAATGCAGTATTGCAGACTAACTCTGCCCACTGCCAGCAGTTC